GACCTACCTGGGTTTTATTTTATTCTTTTAAAGATTTTTTTTTTGATGTGGACCATATTTAAAGTCTTTTTTGAATTTGTTACAGTACTGCTTCTGTTTTATATTTTGATATTTTGGCCGCGAGGCATGTGGGATCTTAGCTCAACAACCAGGGATCAAACCTGCACCCCCTACATTAGGAAGGCAAAGTCTTAACCACTGGACCACCAGGGAAGTCCCCCTACCTGGGTTTTAAATGCCAGCCCAAGGACATACAGGCATGTGACTTTGAGTAAGTTACTTAATCGAAGCCTAACAATGATAGTTCCTACTTTTTAGGGTTGCTATAAGGAATGAATGAGATTATGTATGTAAAACACCTAGAATGTCATTTGACACATAGTAAGCCCTCAGTAAATGATAGCTCTTTACTAACTTGAAACAAAAGGCAAATACATCCAAATGCCATGATGTGTTACGCTGCCACTGATGTCAGACACTGCTTTGGTGTACAGGGAGAATTTGAGCAGCGGAAGTGCTTAGTAAGAGAAAACACAAATTAACTTGTCAAGTCCTTCCTCTCTCAATAGCAATAGATTCTTTCATAACAATGATTGTTTCCCAGTAGTAACAAGCATTGGCTTTCATGTTTCTTTTTGTGCTCCAAATCATGTGGTAAGTGGCCCTCCATTTGTACTCTTGCCCCAGGCCAGGCAAATGTTAGAAGCTGGCCTGTAGCTAACACAGTAAGATGTGAAAAAGAAAGGAGGCATAAGTATTGGAAGGGAGACAAAAATCGTCATTATTTGCGGCTGATCCAGTTGTCTATCCAGAGAACACCCAAGGGAATCAATTGACACACTCATAGATTTAACAAGAGAGTTCAGAAAAGAGTTCAGCAGAGTGGTTGAATACCAATCAATAGTTTTCCTGTAAGTCAGCAACAACCAGTTAGAAGATATAATGGAGAAAAAAATCCATTCATGATGACAAAAATATAGCATAAAATCCATAGGAATAACTTTAAAAAATGTATAGGCTCTACACAAAGAAAACAAGGATATTTGTACATCTCTCAGCAACAGGGATTTGAATAAATGGAAACTGATGCCATATTTCTGGATGGGAAAGCTAAATTTTGTAAGATATCAACTTTTAAAATTAATTACATGTTTAATTCAATCCAGCCAAAATTCAAAGTTATTTTACCTTGATAAAGTGATTCTAAAGTTCACCTAAAACAATAAATAGGGGAGAATGGCAAAGAAATTTTAGAAAAAGAATAATAGTGATGGGAGACTTGGCTTATAAGATATTAACATGTATACATAAGTTATAATATTTAAAACGTAGTACTGTCACAAGAATCAACAAACAAATCAGTAGGACTGAACAGAAAGCCTTGAGACTCACCTAGAAAAAGACAAGAACCTGATATACAATAAAAGAAGCATCACAGACCAATGAGGATAGACAACAATATTAAATGTAAAAAAAGATGAAAGAATAGAACTGCTTTAAGAAAATATAGGCAAATGTTTAATCTTCAGATTGGGAAGAATTTTCTAAGCATAAAAGCAATGAAAAAGTCATAAAAGTATTTTAGATCTGACTCCATCAAATGTATTGGCAAACACAAACTGGAAAAATATTTAAAACATGATTGATGTCATACAGATCTCTTATGAATCAATCAAAAACCACTAACACTCAAAATAGAAATAGCAAAGGACATAAACAGAAGATATACATACTACTAATAAATATATGAAAAAATGTTGTAACACACAAATAATCCACAAAATACAAAATTCTAAATAATGAAATTAGTGAAGATGAAAAATGCACTGATACTCTCAATGCAGATCTGATGTGGTGATGCATATATATTTCTATACTGCTGATCAGAGGGTAATTTTTTTCCTGGAAAGCTCTTTAGTAATACGTATCGAGTCTTTTAAATATTCATATCTTCTAAATGAATTAAAGGAGCAGCAGCAGCAAACTGAGGAACAGCACAGGTTTAAGTTGAGTACCCCAACAGGCGGCAGCCGTGCTCTGGACTTGGGGAGCTGCTTCCCTGCTGGCTCAGTTTCCTCATTCACGAAATGGAGAGAATTAATAGTACTAATCTCACAATACATGCAATTCACTTAGCATAGTATCTGGCATCCTCTAAGTGATGATTAAATGTAAGCTGTTATTAAATTTGTATACATATGCATATGTATATATGAAAAATTCATAATTTTGACCTATTCACCTTCTAGGAATTTATCTTAAGGAAAAATTCAGGAATTCAGAAGAGACTGATATATAAGTATATGCAGAAGGAAAAACCATGGAAAGAACGTCAATATCTAGCAATAGGAGAATAGTTAAATGAATTATAGTATATTCAAATGATGCTGGAGCATTACACAATCATTTTTAAAAGACTGGGTTTTTGAAGACAGTCTAATGATACAGAAAAATTGCTAACAACTGAAAAAAAAAGCAGGGCATAAAACTGACTATCGTAGGATTAAATTTCGAAAAATAATTTATATATATTTTGTACATAGGTATTTAAGAAAAAGGTCAATTAAAATATTGACCCATCAAAATATTAAGAATGTTTATCTCTGCACACTGGGATCGAGTTATTTTTTCCTTGTAATATTTATTATTCAGTATTTTATACATTTTTATAGTTAATAGAGTTATTCCCATTATCATGTAATTTGAAAGGAAAATAGCATATATATATTTTAATCATTTGCTTAAGTATGTGAATGTGCTTCCGTAAGTAGTCATTTTACTGCCATATTCAATGTAGGACATTTGGAAAACAAATTATAAGGACAAACATTTCATTTTGGTTTATTCTTTCCAGTCTTTCTTTTATGTATGAAGAAATTTTCTCCTCTCTAACAAATCCTACTCTCTACTATGCAACAAGCCCATTGGGAGCAGGGTCTATGCCTCATTTATCTGTGTATTCCTACAGTGCCTAATTCACTTGTATGCACGTTGTAGTCACTCACTAATTTATAGGTCGAATCATAATAAGAGTCTGAAATGCTTCCACTATAAGATATAAATGATTGCTAAGTCTTAAAGTGTTACCACTCCCCAGGATATTTGCATTTAATTCATCAAATTTTTCCCAATCAAGATATATTAGGATCTGGTGCACAACAGGGGTTGTTCTAGGTACTGTAGGGGATATACAGAAGTTGTTTCTCCCCTTTAAATGCTTATAATCTAAACTAGCTATGGAGTGAATTAGGAAGGCAGAAGAAGCAAAAAGAGAACCACATCCATTGAGGTATCATTATGTTAGACACTGCTAGGCAATTTACTAACATGGAATTCTTACAACAAACCTTTGAGGCAGAATTTTCATTCACAATTTTTTTTTTTTTTTGCGGTATGCGGGCCTCTCACTGCTGCGGCCTCTCCCGTCATGGAGCACAGGCTCCGGACTCGCAGGCCCAGCGGCTGTGGCCCACAGGCCCAGCCGCTCCGCTGCACATGGGAAACTCCCTGACCGGACACGAACCCGCATCCCCTGCATCGGCAGGCGGACTCTCCACCACTGCGCCACCAGGGAAGCCCTCATTCACATTTTATAAATGTGGAAATGGAGGCTCAGATAAATGACTTATCCAAGTTCACAGAGTTAGTGGTAGAGCTGGGATTGAAACCCTGGACCTTCAGGGTCTGATGCCAGACTGTTTTCTCTTTCTTAATGAACACTGCCTCTTAAAAAGGTGTGTGTGTGTGTGTGTGTGTGTGTGTGTGTGTGTGTGTGTGTGTGCGCGCGCGCGCGCGCACGCGCACACTATAATTACAGTGCTCAGCAGTATCAGGTAAGTGCCCTATTTACGATGCAAAATATTATACAGAGAGGCAGTAGAGCAATGGATAAGAGCCTGGGCTCTGGAAATGACTGCCCAGGTTTGAATTCTGTCTCTCCACTTACTAGCATATACTCTTGGGCAAGTTACTTAACTTCCCTGTGCCTCAGTGTCCCATCCATAAAATAGGAACTCATATCTAGCTCACAGTGTTGCTGTTAAGATGAAATTAGTTAATACAAGTCAAGGGCAGTGTCTAGCACTTAGTAAATGGTCAATAAATATTGGTTACTATCACAGGAAATCAGAGGAGGGAGAAATCATATCCAGCTGGCAGTGGATCAGGGAAGGCAAAGGAGGTGACATTGAAGAAAAGGCTGAATGCTAATGAAGAGTGATAGAGCAGGGAAAGGGAATGTAGGGGAGGTAGGAAATCTCAGGTTGGATGGGACCATGAGTGGATAGGAGATGAGGGGTGGCAGTGGGAATTACTGGAAGATAAACCTCTGAAGAGAGGCAGAGGTCAAAATGTGGAGGCCCTTAAATGCCAAATTTAAAATTCTGGAGTTAACCACTGGGCAATGGGAGCCATGAAAGGTTTTGGAGGAAGAGGAAGATAAAGCCTTCTTTGGCAGCAATCAAGGTGGACAACTTTGCAGATTTATCCTCGAGTGTTACCAACTGCAGAAACCACCAACTCTGAGGACTAATGTTTTGACTGAGGGAAAGGAAAAGGGGAGAGAAGGGGAGAGGTTGGAAAAAGGGAGTGAATAATGAAAGGACTGTACAGATAAACAGCACTCCTGGTGTGAAGTGATAGAACGGTCTTCCTTAATTCCTCATTACAGAGGCAGCCCAGGGACTGAACTCGAAGCATAACCTACCTTTTCCCCCATTTAAGACTTTAAGTTTCCACCTCAGTTTAGGACTTCCTTTAATATCGAGACTGTGCTTTTGGCCAGTGCGGAGCAAGCGTAGGGCATTAGGACCCAGCGATTGTTGTAGTGAGAGAGGTTGAATCTCGGCCTCTCAATTTTTCCCTCGAGCTTCCTCCTCTCCCTTTGTCATTCTAGCTGCCTGCTGCCTCCGCAGCGTCCCTCTAGCTCTCTCTGTGCTAAGTGCCTGCGCCTTAGGGTGCGCAAAGCAGCAGTATTAGTCGGGACCTGCCTTGGTGACCCCATGGCATCCCCTAGAACCGTAACCGTCGTGGCACTCTCAGTGGCCCTGGGACTCTTCTTTGTTTTCATGGGGACTATCAAGTTGACCCCCAGGCTCAGCAAGGATGCCTACAGTGAGATGGTAAGTGAAGCAAACGGGTGATGAGGAGCGCACCCCCAAGGGATGGCGAGTACCTCTCCCCTTCTTTCCTTCCCGGTCCACGGTCCCAGCCCTTTCACCCCTACCCCCACCCCGGACCCTCCCTTCTCCCCAACAACTTTGCAGCTGGGAAGGAGCAGCTGTATGAGAGCGATTTCATTTGCAGGCTATGCCGAGAGCAACTGTCTTGGAGCCACTGAATGCCAGTTGGGGGAGGGGTTGCCCAGTGAGTACCCCCACCCCCAAGTAAACCGGAGGGCTGAGACCTGCGTAACACCTGTCATTGGCAGGAGCCCTTCCCTCCTTCCAGCACACCCAAAGTCCCGGCAGCCAGTCTGCAAGTCTGATTCCTTCCCTTGGAGCTAAGAGTTTAGCAAGCTGGACAGTTTATTTATCTTGGGGAAGAACAAAAGGCAAGGAGGAAAGAGCTGAGGGCGAATGGGCTACTGAAACAAGCAATTTTTAGGGGCGGGGAAGGTATTCCTCATCCCTGGCGGAGAGCCGATGGTGTTCCCCTAGCCGCCTGGGTGTGTGTCTATATCCTTGAGACAAAGCCGACTTGGTCCAAATAAAGGTCACCAAGAGCCTGCTTCTTCCCCTTCTCTCAAGGGAGAGCTGGATGTTTTGTTTTATTTTGTTTTGTATATGGGCTAATCTGCAAAATCTGCAAAGTCTGCTTTTCCTCTCCTGCAAAATAGTCCTTAATCCCCACCTTGTCTCCCGTGGATGCCCAGGGCCAGGCCCTCTGCAGGTTTTCCCCTCCGCAGAGTTAGAATCACCTGAAGGTGAATGGCCAAAACATCTCTGCAACCTGGGGGCTGGGCTGCTCTCCACAGTTGGGTGTGAAGAGGACTTGTTCCTATGCTGTGGAGTACGAAGTGATGGCAGGGGATGTTTCCAGCACTTCCGCTCTCGCTTCTCCCCCTGTCACTTTGCCTCTTCATTTCCCCGCCCCAGCTGAAGAGAACCTGCTTCTCACTGCTTTTGCCAGGCTGCCAGTAATGGGAGGGAGCCCATTAATGGGTTCTCAAGGTCAAGAAGGAAAAGAGCTTAGGGGAGGAACAGGAGGGAGAGAGAAGAAAGACAAGAGGGATTCCCCATTAGGGCTAAGGCAAGGAGGAGTAGCCCCACACGTTGACAGTTGACAGGAATAAATAGGTCTCCTGGAGCTCACTGCGGAGCGTTCCAGAGCCCCTCAACGTGAGCTGCAAGTGGATGGAGTCTGGCAAATTGTAGACGCTCAGAAATGTTTGCAGGCAGCTCTGGCTTGTCTCAGGGTTTGAGCTGGTGTTTCCCATGTCTCTCTCACCACAGGATCACCTTGGCGTCAGGGAGGGTGGCTGGGACTCAGGGGCCAATGTCTAACCCCATTTGCAAATCCTAATGTGTTTCCCCTCCCCCCTTTCCCTCCTCCCAGAACATTTGACCAGATGGAATTGAAAGCAGGTCAAAATGAGTATCCGAGGCAGCCTGCATTGGGGAGGGGAGGGGAAGTGGGGTAGCAGAAGCCACCAAAGGCAGAGGGAAAGGGTGGAGGGGAATTGCGACTATATTTTTGTCTTGGCAGCAGTAGTTTGGCGTTAGATTATAAATAAATGCATATGCTCTTGCTTTTCTTTCCTTTTCATATATGCATACATTTATATGTTTATGTGTGTGTGCCTTGGGTATATTTAAGCTTTTCCTTGCCTTAGGGACATAGTACCCTTCTTCAGTATACTGCCTGTCTCCCTATATACTGCTCAGCTGCTTTAGAGGCCTCCCAAGCTGCACCCTAAGTACGGTGTTAGGTTTTGCAGGCAATCCAACTAAGATGGAGTCACCGGGAAGCTTCCTATCAGCTTTGCTGGAGCTCATGAGGAGGACCAGTCACAAATGAGTTTGCAGTAGGTTTCTTCCTAGGGTATGGAGCTGTTTATTACAGTTTAATGAAAGGCAGAAAAAAGTATATGAAGATTCCATATCATACAAAGGAACATATTTAAATAGGTATAATCTAATACAGCAGTACAGAACCATTGTGTGTGTGTATGTACGCACAATTCCGTGCTTCTGTGCTCAGGGCATCTGGAGGCAATGGAAGAGCTATATCTAGCTGGGAGGTAAACTTCACAGTAGCATGAAGCTTGAGGAGGATTTTCAGACTGCCGTTTTCCAGGGTCCCCTCCTGCATTGAGCATTGGGCCCCAGGCTAGAGATGGCTTTCTGGCATAGGGCCCACCGCATAGTGCCTGGGCCGGCCCAGCTTTATTGTTGAATCCATAGGGAGTGGGGACAATTCAGTTCTAGTACAAAGAAGTTGCTCAGTTTATAGTTGTTGAGTGGCTGGGTGAATGAATGAGTCATTGTAGCATTGTCTTGGCTTGTCACCACCCTTCAGATTTCTCTGGTTGGCTCTTGATGATGCAGTTCAGAAGCCATTTCTTGCCCAACCAGAGATCAGTTGGGATGACTCTCTGGTATTTTCTGTTTTGCATTTAGGAGTGATTCCTCTGCATTGATGGAGTTAGTCATGTATTGACTGCAGTGGCTTTTTGTGTAAAGTCTCAAGGTGGTGTTGTTGCTCTTGTTGTTTATTCTTTAAAACATCTCTGTGAGGTAGATTTATTTTTTAAAGTTATGCTTATTTTACTGATGGATAAACTGAAACAGAGCAAGTTTAATGACTTATCCAAGTTCCTAGGGTAAGCTGCTGTTGGAGCAGAGATTAGAAACCAAGTCTGTGACTCAGTATTCCCAGTAGAGGAGTCATTAATGGTTACAACTGCTTTTTTGGATGTCAGAACTTACAACCGATTCTTGAAAATATCTGGCACATTTTTTCTCCTTTTTTGGTACTAGTTTAACTGCCCCAATCCCATATTTTGGGGTTTCATTTTACTTCAAAACCAATTTTTCAAATTTAGAGGGTTCTTTTTTGCTTTTCTGTCAACTATTTTTTCTTGTTCTAAAGCCATTAGTGTTATGCTTAGGTATTATCCCCTCCATGGAAAATCACTGCTAAAAACCAGACAGACAAATGTCTATGAACTTCTTTCCTGTCTCTACTGGGGAAGCCAGGAAAGGTTAGTGGAAGGAGTACAGACTTTGAGTCATGTAGGTTTGGGTTCAAGACCTGACACTCTTAGTGTCTGTCTCAGTTTCCTCATCTGTAAAATGAGGATAATAACCTACCACAGGATGTTGTTGTAAATATTAACTGAGATTACATATGGAAGCATCTAGTACAGTGTATGAATATGGTAGGTGTTCAAGAAATGCTCTGGGTTGAGGTGATGATAATTGATTCTATTTTACACAGTGGTTTCCTGACTAATTCGAATGGCCAGTTTAAGGGATTGAAATTAGGCATGTAAAAGAGCAAGATGCTATTTCCTTATGCCATGGTGAACAGACCTCCATGCAGTCAGCTAATATAGAAAACTCCACACTTGCTGCTGGGTAATACACAGTGGATCCCATGGAGAATTTCCAGATGCCTCTCTTGAATAGCCTGTTTGGTATGTGTCACTCCATACCTCCTCCCAATTTAGCAAGTGTCATTATAGAGTACTCTAAATCCCACATGAATTCAACACGACTGACCACTCCCCTGACTAAATGCCTTCATTAATTCACTTGAAATTGTGAGACAGCACTTACAAATGCTGCTAAGCAGTTTAACATATGAATGGTTGACTTGCTCTAAATTTGGTATTCAGCTCTTTGTGACAGTGGTTTAATCCTGTAAGCACAAAGGGCCACAAATGGAATAGTAAGAAAACACCACAAATCCTGTCACATTGAAGCCAAAGGATTTTGACCACGAGGAAGAGAGGGCAAGTCTCTGACAGGGCAGGTCTCTGCCACTTCTTTGCATCCCCTTATAGGGAAGGTTTGTTGTTGATTTGGATGATTTGCTTATTTATAGTTAAATGCCCTCCGGTATTTCCCCAGGGTTTGTGTAGCCCTAGGAAAATACTCCAGATAGGTTTGGGCAGTTTATTTAATGTCCATAGGTGATCTTTTATACTTCCAATCACACTATTAATTGCTTTCCAACTACATAATAGTTGGAATGATAAGGTAATAATACTAAGATAATAATAATGAGATAGTAATTTACTGATGCTTAGACTGTTCTCTGAGGTGGTACAGTACGTTTATTCCCTCAGAGAGGCAACTGACCCTGAGATGTGAAATGACTTTGCTTAGTTCACACAGCTAGCTATCCTAAGCTAAACTACATTGACATTTGTGCCAGGGAGCGTATAGCCTCTCAATGGCCAACAGCTGTGCTTGTTTCAGAGCGACTTTTGACTGACAGTGGAAGTCAGACCCTTCTCCCCTTTGATGCAATCTGGAAGGGATCCACTTTGCTTAGTAGGACCAGGTTTGCCAGCTTCCTTTTTATGTGGGCATTATATGACAGTGGAAGGTAGAACTGCTTAAAAGGTGTTTTTCATTCACATGGATATTTGGCAATTAAACATGTGATGGTTTATTATTGCATTTAAGAAATGATCTATGATTCACATATGGCTATTTTTCCTACGGAGATTCAGGAAAATCATACTTGAAACAGTAAATTTTGCAGCACTTATGTAGCCTTTATGATCTAAGATATCAACCAGGCTGAGATTTTTAGCCAAAATATATTTTTGTCAGTACCCTCTTTTGCTTTCATATAGTTTTTTCCCTGTAAATTGTATTGAAGTATAACATACATACTGAAATGTGCACCTAAGTGTATACAGCTTGAGGAATTTTCAGAATCCCCCTGTGTAACCAGCACCCATATCAAGAAGCAGAACATGACCAGCATCCTAGAAACCTCCCTCCTGGCCCCTTCTGATTACTACCTTCCCAAGGGTAAATCCCAACTCCAACAATATAAATTAGTTTCACCTGTTTTTGAACTTTATGTAAATGGAATTATACAGTATATTAGCTAATTTTTTTTTCTTTTACCTAACTAGCATAAGTGAACTAAAGTAAACCAGTTGTGAGCTGCTTAAGTTTAATGTAATTAATATGAGATCATGGCCCCTGGGGTGTTGTGAAGAATAAATGATAAAAAGAAAAAAGGTATAACTACAGAAAGGCTCCATATGCTTTTGACTCATGTCTGAATCATATAGTCTCATACTATAAAAATGGACCTGCTTGAATCATTGCTATTATCATTAAAAGAATTACTGTGGCTTGCAAACATATGGATTTCTAATTGTGTGGTTCATTAATGATAAAATATGTGTGTGTGGCCCTTGGTTGATGCTATGACGTTATGATTCTTTGACCAAATCTCCAAAATGCTCATTTGATTTACAAAAGGGGAAACTGAGGTAATAAAATACTTAGTAATTTTCTGCAAGCAATTTAGGGGCAAAACTAAAATTGGAATTTAGCTTGTCTTAGTCCAAGGATATTGCTAGATGACTGCCTTTGATTAAAGGGGTTTGAAACATTTGACTAAACCCTTCTGTCTCCTGCTTCCTTCCCCTATAAGGAAACTATGGTTTCAGGGTCTGGGTCATGGCAATGAAAAAGAAACAGACATAACAAAGTGAGCTTCCAGAGCCTTTTGCGAGAGTGACTCAGTCAACTCCCTTTATTCTTATTGTCAGGACAATTAAAGTCGTTAGAGATCTAATTACTATAGACTTAAGACACATGACCCTTCTATTGTTGGAATTGAGGTGGCCCAGACCAAGTATTGTTGCTGCTGGCAATAGTAGGATACTTTTGATGTCTCTATCCTACTCCACAGGAGAAAGAATAAAGGGCTTCCTAGACTGTCAAAACCTCATCCAAGCTTAGTCCCATCTCTAACAAGTTAAACATTCCCTGTCTGGAGTCATGGAGAATAGATGCTATCTGTACCTACTCAGCTTTGAACTAAAGATTTGATGAAATGGCTTATCCACATGCAGTTTCCTCTTGAGAAAAGAAGGAAAGAGGCAACTGCTGCATAAAAATATCTACAGCTGCAGTTTAAGAGGTTAGATAAACAACTGAAAAAGTAATATGTAGTTAGAGCAAATGCAGAGAACAATGATCACTGAAGTCATAGGAACTTGATTTAGAGACCTGGAATTTGGCCTACAGATTTCACTATAGTATAGATAAAAATATATTCCTAAATGATGGGTGGTTAGCCCTAGGCAAAAAAGGAATGTTTCCAGAAGCCATTCAGTCAGCATCTGGAAATCTTGGCTGTGCACTGGCTGTAAGAAGCTCATCCTGCTTCCTGTGTTCATTATGTCAGAAGGTTACACTTAGGATTTAGGACCCGCCTCTTGGGGAGCTTTGTGTTGCTAATTTAAAAAGGTCCTAGCTTAAAAGAGTTAAGGAAAACTCTTGGGTCTAGATTTCTTTCCCTTATGTCCCCCTGCTACCATCACCAGAGTGTTGAGGGAGAGAGAGTGGGCAGGTGACATCTAGGTTAATAGTGAGAGGAAACTGCCAGATGCTCTAATCCTTGGCTCAGCTCTGCTCCACATGGGTCTAGCTCAGTTCAGCCCAGGGTTTTACTCTGCCTACTGGTCAACCTCTCTCCTAATTTCTCTCTGAAAATCCTTGATTTAACCTAAAATGGGAAGAGGGAGGAAGAACGACTGATACTTTGTGTTTCACTATATGCTCAGGAACAGGTTAGGGACTAGAGGTGAATAAAGGTAAATAAAGACAGGATGTGACAGGGCTAGGATTCAGAAGAGGTGTGAGGCAGTGTTGTGCAAGTGCAGAATCAGATCCTGCCTCTATTTAAAGTTGTGATATTTTACTTGTTGTGGATATTATTTACCTTAATCAATGAGTGTTTTAGTGCCTTCTTAAATTTTACACTCAGGGGACATAGGCTTACTTTATCTTAGTCCCAGCCGTGCTCAGGAAAATGAGGCTCAGAGAGGGCAAATAATTTGCCCAGGGACACCAACTAGAAAATGACAGAGATGGGATTTGAAGCCAAGCCTGTTTGAAGCCAAATCCATTCTTTTTTTAACTAAACCACTGGTCTTGAAACAGTACTCATAAAGGACTATTTTGTGCTACTCATGATAATTAATCCATGAAATAAAGGTGCATTCACTAGAGAAATGACTTAACATTTGTTCCAAACAAGAGCGTGTGAACACTATTCTAAGCACCAGATGCTCCTGACAGGTCAAGTTGGCTTTCTGCCTGATTCTTGTAATACTTGTCTTGCATCTGGTGCTTTTGACTATTCTCTTCTTAAAATTTTTGGCCCCTATGACCCCATCTCTCCTGGTTTTCCTCCTACTTTTCTGACCACACTTGCTTCTGTCTATTTTGTGGATTCTCTTCCTCCTCCCATTTTTAAAATGTCTGTCACACATTTTCCCACTGTATACATTCTACCTGGGCATACTGATAACTGTCAATTCTGTATCTTTACCCCAGACCTCTATTATTGAGCTGCCTACTAGACATCTCCACTTAGGTGTCTTAGAGATACTTCAACTAAAAAGCTCCAAATTGAGTTCCTCATTCCTTCCTGCCCCATCCCCCTCTTCTTCTGGATGCATTCTTGACTTCTCCGTTTCCCTCAGTGTCCACATCCAGTGAGACATCAATTCCTGTTGATTGTGCATTCAAAGTATCCTTGAGTCTCTCCCCTTCCCTCTATCCTTACTGTCATTACTCTAGTCCAGTTCTCTCACCTGATCTCCTGGCTTCCAGGCATACCCCTTCCAATCAATCCTCCATGCTACTTCCAGAGGGACCTTCCTTAAAAGCAAATTATGTTGTTCCCCTGGCTTATAGGATAAAGTCCAGCTCCACAACGTAACAGTCCATGATCTGATTCATATCTGTCTTCTCTGTCTCATGTCTCACCCTTTCCCCCTTCCTCCCCCAACCTATGCTGAGCTGGGGCAGTGTTCGAAACACACCAGTCTATTTTGTGCTTCAGGGCCTTTGCTCATCCAGCTTCCTCTGCCCTCGATGCCCTTCCCTTATTGATCTTGCAAACATCTGCTCTTCTTTTAAGATTCCACTCTAGCTTTTCTCAGTCCCCATCTAGGGAGATTTGACCACTCTGGTGTGCCTCCACTGTACCTACTACATAGTTTATTTCAGCACCCATAACACTTTATTGCACTTATGTACTTCCATAACTTTTCTTCTCATAAACTCAAACTTCAGGAAGGCAGGGCTTTTGAATGATTGATGTCTGTATCCGGAGTACCGAGTACAATGCCTAGCACAGGAGGCACTTAATATATATTGAATGAATTAATGGATACTTCATGAAAACAAAGTAGTGGGCAAAACCAGAAAGACACTTGATAAAATCTCATCAATTTACTACAAAATGAGGATTGGGTCAATCTGAATAGTGAAAAATATGATTATCTATTACTCTAAGCTCAGTATAATTCTATTACTTTGTAGTATATCCAGTGCCTCCCTTCTCTGTTCCATGATATCTGCCTTTGGGCTACAATTAGACCTTATACAGTATTCTATTATATACCACTAACCATGCTGCTTTATAATGTTGTTTATGCATCTGTTTCCCCCCCACTACACTGAGAGCTTCTTGACCCTATCATATTCATCTCTATATCTCCATCACATAATCCATAATAGGTATTCAATAAATGTTTATTGAATTAAAATTAATGAACTTGAACCAGGCTAATCAAAGTAGTGTCTTGTAAAATCCTAGGGATTTATCTCAATGATCATAAGAACGATTTTTGTCTTACCATATTTTAAAGATATATAAGGGGCTAACATTTGCATACAGTTAAATTTTTCTGTTTGCTTAGCACACACTTTTTTTATTTTTACAGATTCCACAAATGTAAACTCCAACTCAGCTCTTTTTTGAATTAACACAGATTCCAAATTAGGGAAGTCCAAATTAGTGAGGCTTTACCGCCTTGTCTCATTTTTGTTGGTATTCATATGCATCTGGGTTTGGACAAGGTAGGCACTAGAAAATGCGGATATGGCTAATCAGTACCAGTTTTTATGGGCCCAGTGAATTTTCTTTTAAATTCTTAATGTTGTTTATGATTTATGATCAGAAAAATTTTTTTTAATAAAAGGTGCTCCCACTGCAGGGGGCATGGGTTTGATTCCTGACTGGGGAACTAAGATCCCGCATCCTGCCCCCATGGTGTGGGCCCCCCCCACCAAAATTTTTTTTTAAACTATAAAGCCAAATTCTCTTACCTTTGGTGCTGTTACTAAGGTTTAAATCACAGGGATCTCAGCAGATTGCTTGCTTTTTTCCTTAATTACAAGGCTTTTATTTAGGGGGCACAGTAAAAAACGAACACCCTTGGCTGGTGTGGAAAGGGAATGGTGGGGAAGAAGGACCTTGCTTGTGTTTTCTTCATTCTAATGTTAAAACCATGGTTAATGCAGCGATTTCCTTATGGTATTCCACTCTAGAAACGTGCTTACAAGAGCTATGTCCGAGCCCTCCCTCTGCTGAAGAAAATGGGGATCAATTCCATTCTCCTCCGCAAAAGCATTGGTGCTCTTGAGGTGGCCTGTGGCATTGTCATGACCCTTGTGCCTGGGCGTCCCAAAGATGTGGCCAACTTCTTCCTACTTTTGCTGGTGTTGGCTGTGCTCTTCTTCCACCAGCTAGTCGGTGATCCTCTCAAACGCTACGCCCATGCCCTGGTGTTCGGCATCCTGCTCACCTGCCGCCTACTGATTGCCCGAAAGCCCGAAGACCGGTCCTCTGAGAAGAAATCCTCGCTGCCAGGGAATGCGGGGAGTACCGGCAATGCGGGAAATACCGAGGAGCAGCCGTCCTTATATGAGAAGGCCCCTCAGGGCAAAATGAAATTGTCGTAGGAAAGCGGAAGTGCAAAAAAGTGGACCTTCCAGGCAGTTGCCTCCATGACACCCAGGAAGATGTCAGTGTGTGTTTTTCATTTGATTTATTTATCTTGGGGGAAAAGGGACAAATATAACCTACAAATTAATGGCCCTATTGGCTTGTGTACACCTATACCCTAAAATGACCTCCCCACATAGATGTATGTGCACCACCTTTAATCACTCTGGGGCAACTCTCACATCTTGCTGCATGTACATGTATATGGCTAACTATTGAAGTGTATTTGTGAGATGGACTCCAGCAAGCATGTGACTTTGAGATTAAGTGTGGGAAAATGTTACTTACTGTGTGTGTGTGTTTGCGTGTTTGCACACACTTGCGAAGGAGAAGGCTCTGATCTTGAACTAATCCTGCATAGGTATCCTTCCCTTTATAGACTGATTCTAGTGAAGGCAGAATAAAATAAATCACCTATAAAGAGAATGCTACTTACTTCTTGGTATAAAACAAACTATGTATTCCCATGGGATGGAGGAATCCCTCACTAGATTAAGCTGAAAACTTAAACCTACCACTTTAGGAAAAATTTCCTTCAATTTGAGACACTGAGTTACATGTAAAATGAATTAACTTCTACTTTAACACTTGTTTAAATTGTAAATACTCCATACTGAGTTTAATTAAAATAAGGGAAATGTGCAGTCAATAAATAATCTAATTCTTCAAGTGATAAAATTGGAAGTTTCACCTTGCCTTTGTCGGAACCCAACCTACTAAGCTCCTTTACTCACACTTGGAAACTGAAACAGTAAACTTTATATCGGACATCTTTTTTGGATTTTCTTAAGCCAAAAGCTGCCTCACTTCCACTATTCTCAGCAGCTAACCAGGATTTGGCAGCTGCTCCACTGTTGCGGTTGAGGGAGCGAGGATTAGTCCCGTTAGAAGTCTGTGAATCTCAAACTAGCTGTTCTCTTAAATCATCTGAAATTTGACAGAGGAGCCGTATCCAGTGTTTCTCTGCCAAACAGATTCACTATTCCTATTGAATTTTCACTGAGCTTTGCTAGTGTAAGCAGAGAGCCACGTTACCCTCACAGCTGTCTCCTCTACACCTCTTTATCATTCCAGTGAGTTGAGTTTAGCTGGGGGAAGGACATTTGATATAGGTTAGTTGGATTGAGCAGTATGAAAATTTGCTTTCTTCATTACGTACTGCTGCTTCTCCTTGTTAGATGTGCTTTGATGGTTTTAATGTTATTGTGCCAGTGATAGGGAAAAGGGTGGGAGTGTTGTGTGTAGGGGGAGTACAAATTATTGTATTCAATATCATTGTTCTTGTTGATTGATACCTCTCTGTCTTATTTCTCTCATTCTTTCAAAATAAAAATTTTTGAAGTTTGGAGGAAATGGTCTGGACAAATAATGAAAATCTGGAAAGAAAGGGTCATGTCATGGGATTCAGATTGTCTTATTTTTGAGTGGATGAGGGAGGAGAATAAAGAGAAGGGGGAGTACAATAACTTAATATACTAATGAGGTTACTAACTTTCCAATCTCATTTAAGTTTCCTCACACTTCTGTGACGTCAGCATATAAGACAGAAAGCCACAAAATTAGATCTCAATACAGTTCCCAGGTTTGGGGAGTTCTGCTTTATTAGGTGATGCCAAGGGTAGGTAGAAGAATGATTTCAGAAATAATTGCAGGTATATTAAATAAAGATGAACCACAAACTGGCACAAATTCCAGTGCCACAGACTTGTCACATTAGGCAAGTTATTTTACCACTCAGGGCCCCAATTTCATTTACAAAAATAAGGGGATTGAAGGCTTAAAATTCTTTCCAATTTACATTTGAGTATGAAATGTTTATTAAATAATGACTCGAGAAATTTTCAGTTTTACTAGATAGGAAGATCAGCTATCATAGAAAATATTGAACACTCAGTTCTCATGCATGATTAAATATGATTTCTTGAAAGTACTTTGAAAACAATGTAAGATGTGGTAAATATCATTTTTTGCTGTAGTCTTTCCCAAATATATCAACTTAGTCTGATTCTTCATCTCTCCCCAAGACTGCAAAGTTTCCTCCCACACTTCTATTTTTTTTGCAGTACGCGGGCCTCTCTCTGTTGTGCCCTCTCCCGTTGCGGAGTACAGGCTCCGGACGCGCAGGCTCAGCTGCTGTGGCTCACGGGCCCAGCCGCTCCGCGGCATGTGGGATCTTCCCGGACCGGGGCACGAAGCTATGTCCCCTGCATCGGCAGGACTCTCAACCACTGCGCCACCAGGGAAGCCCCCTCCCACACTTTTGCCTATAGTTTATGGGTATATTTTGGCCTCAAAAAAATCAGTGAGAGTCATTAAATTTTTATCTTTCTTCTCCAGTTCCTACTCTAGTAAGAGACTAAACTAGGGACTAAGTTCAGGTCTCAGACTAAGCCCTTGCTGTTTTAGCCAGTTTCTTTAAGGTCCATCGATTCCTCAAAGTTAGGAATCTTTACTTGTTGACTGGCCGGCTACCTACAAGATGCCACATCTGGCTCAGGATATACGTTTCCAGCATACTCTAGAAGGTATGCGTGCCCATCCTCGGTAAAAGGAGGGCAAGTTCAGCCGCCGTCCTTTCCTCCCACCTCCTAGCGACAGCTTCAGAGGTGTCAGACCCTTTAACTTAATTCTCTTGCCCAACATGGGAGAAGCAGCCTTCATTGAGAAGTTTGCAGTTTCATATTTTCCTACAGATTCAAAGTCCCGACATTTGGGGTCAATCTGGCAAATGGATCACTGTAATTGGTCTTGTTAAACTCAAGAACCAAGACACTAATTGTTCCGTTTTAGGCACAGTGACGAATGGGAACAATATTAGAACAGTGGGAACATCAGCCAATCGGCTGATTTCAGCAGCAACTGCCCGCTAGCCGGGCGTAACCGGGCCTGGCGGGTGTGGCCGGCGGCTCTGCGGAATTGCGTTTGCGTCAGCGTGGGCGCGCGCGCCGCCTCGCGCCATTGAGCTGTGACCCAACCAATCACGCTTCAGCAGAGCGCGCGGCTCCGCCCTGAAGCCCCCTGTGTCTCCTCGGAAGCGCATGCGCGGGGCGGAGCCCGCTCATTTGAATCCGGGAGGTGACGTTTGGACTCCAGAGGCTTTGGGACTGAGGAGTATTTTAGGTGAGGTGCTTTTAAACACCGGGCAAAGTGGGAGCCCCGAGGCCGAAGGGAATCAATCTCCTGACTTCTGAGTAAGACTGTCTTACAAGGTGTCGGGTTTTCCCCCAGAACGGGAATCTGCCCAGTGGGTCAGTTGTCGCGGCCAAGTTCGGTCCCTGCTGGGGCAGGCTGTGAAAGGGGGTCCTTGGGGAGCGATGGGACGGTTCCACCGGAAAGGGCCAGAAGCTGCTCGCCCGCCCTTCTTTCGTAGGACCTGAAAAAACAACTCGGAACCTGGAACCTCTCGGTGGGTTAGACATGCATATTGCTCTTCTGCTCCAGCCTCATCTGTTCTAGGGAGGTGGGGTTGAGTGTCATTACGACCATTCCCTTAGTTTTTCCTATTTGAAGCCCAAAACTTAGAAGTCATTCTGGCTTCCTCTCTTTCCTTTTCCTTACATCGAATTCCTTTATTACGGCCTTGCCCAGTCTCCTTCCAAAACATTTCACAAATACCATCATTTTCTACCTTTCCTACCATTTACACCTTAGGCCAGGTTCAGATTGCAGTCATATCTCTTCTGGACTTTTGCTAGACCCTTTTAATTGTCTGTTTCCACTCCTGCACCCCTAATATTCTATTCTCCGCACTGCAGCTAAAATGATCTTGAAACATAAATCAGATGGTATCACTCGCCTCTGTAACAGTCTTCCCTTCCCCCATAGTTGCCTATGACACTTAAAAACCAAATTCCTTGTTCTGGCTTACAAGCCCCAATATAGCAGTCCCTGTCTGCCTTTCTGACTTCGTCTCCTACTACCCTGTACCTCTTTCATTCTACTACCCCCACCGACCCTCGCCTCTTACTGGTGTTGTTGCTGTTTCTTTAACACACAGAGCTCTTGCTTTAAGGTCTTAGCATGTCTTGTCCTTTCCTCTCCATGAAATACCCTTCCACCAGCTCTTAACATGGTTGGTTCCTCCTGGCATTCAAATCTCAGCTTAAAGGTCACGTCAGAGAGGCATTCTCTGAACACTTATTCCAAAGTAGCTTCTCACCCCCACCTCTTTTTTATGACATCACTGTATATTATGTTCACTATTATTTACTTATTTATTGACTCTCTCACAGCTCCTCTTCACTCCACCCCCATAAGTTTCATGAGAGCGCAGACCTTGACTGTTTTGTTATTTTATCCCTGGTGAGTAGAATTGTGCGTAGCATATATTGTAGATGATGCTCATTAATTATTTATTGAATAAGTGAATTATTGGGGGCATGTTTCTGTTCTGAGAATCCTTAGTTTGGCCACCAGTTTGTCTTTAACTTAGCACTGACAAAGCAGGCAGCATTAAAGATTAAAAGCAAAATCAAGGCAGGGTGGAGAAAAATAGGAGTGGAGAAAGTAACATTGAGTTCATGAGATGGATTAGTTTTGGACTCACTTATGTGATATAGCCCTTTTAAGAGAATTTATGTTGCCTGTACTCTTACTGTTTTTTTCCCCTCACAAGGCCAGCTAGTGAATGTTACCTTGGAGAGTCATTTCTGTTCCTATTTAGGTCAAGGGCTTTTTGAGAAAGTTAACCTATAGATTTTGTTGCCTGGATTGCTGTCAGTTTTTTTATTGTGTACTTGTATGCTAGGTCCTCTGTACTAAATGTGGGAATACAGGCATGTGTGATCCCTGTCTTTGTGGAGTAAAAAGGGAGGGACAGTTTGGCTGCTTAATGGTAACTTGACACTTGTTTCTGTATAGAACACGTGCAGTAATGTCACTTCAAAGGAAAGTTAAGAACTCTCAGGCACAAAAGAGGACTTCACAAGGTAGTAATATCTATCAGACCAGACTCTCAGCCTGGAAAGTAACAGAGGACCTAAGTGACTCAAAGAGCATCTCGAAACATGGACAAAACAATCCAGTGGAAGATTATGAACATACTGATGATCAAGCAGAAGGCGCTCTGCAAATAGCACTGACATACTTTGAGAAAGGTAAGACAGATTGTTTTCCTTATGTTAAGTCCTATTCCTGTAAAAATATTCAGACTTTTTTTCTTAAGGATTTTTAAAGGAAAGCATATTTTCGCTCATTTGTGATTTTTGTTTATTTAATGGACATTTATTGAGCACTTACTACGTATCAATATGCTAGGTACTAGGGATATAGCAACAAAGCATGTTCCTGGCAGAGTGGTTTCCAAACTGTTGCACCTTGGGATTTCCCCAGAATCTTTAAAACCCACTGGTACCTGGCATCCACTCTTAGACTTTCTGATTTTATTGGTATGGGATACAAGCTGGGCATTGGGATTTTTTAATGGCTCCTTAGGTGATTCCAATGTGCAGCAAAGTTTGGGAACCACTGCCCTTGTTTTTGAAACAGCTTAGTCTAAGTTCAGTGCTTTTAGTTAGTTTAGAGCAGAGAAGCCAGAGCAGGATTCAGTTTTCCTGCTTTGCTGTGAAGTATTTTAGGGTTTTAAAGGCTTTGAAGGGTTTTTAGGAAGACATCTTTTACGTAAAGCTATTCCTTTGAAGAATCCTAATTGTAACTGTTGAGGCTGAGGAGTGAGGGAGTTTTAAAATCCTCACTATTTAATATTGTTCCTCTTCCAGGTCCCATTAAAACTTCACAGAGTAAAGATAAAACCTTGGAGAAACACTTGAAAACTGTGGAAAATGTGGCATGGAAGAATGGGTTAGCTCCAGAAGGAATCGACATTCTATTAAATGCGGCACTCAGTGGCAAATTTGGTATGTCAAGGGGATAAATTTTTCAGTTTGCTATTTGTTTTGCCTTTCAGACTTTGAATTAGATTGTTGATTGGAATCAGCTGCAGTTAAAGAACTATATGTTTTTCCTATTCTCTTCATAAAACCAATCTGATAAGATTATATCAACAAGATGGGCCTTTCTTGTGTTCAGACTACCTTATGAACTAAAAGTTTCTATGTTCATATGCTGAAAATGGCTAGTTATCACATATCTTTACAAATAAAATGGGCCTCTCACTGTTGTGGCCTCTTCCGTTGTGGAGCAACAGGCTCCGGATGCACAGGCTCAGCGGCCATGGCTCACAGGCCCAGCCGCTCTGCGGCATGTGGGATCCTCCCGGACCGGGACACAAACCCGCGTCCCCTGCATCAGGCGGACTCTCAACCACAGCACCACCAGGGAAGCCCCAATAAAATGGATTCTTGTCACCAAATACATGGGAGCCATTTTTAGTATTTCTCTTAGGAAGGATAGATAATAATTTAAATAGTGTTGCCGGAAGGCACATTAAGAGATCACTTGGTCTATTTTATTGCCTTTAGGTTCACTTATCTATGGCAAGTCCCTGTTGATACTGTCTCCATTCCAGTGTTTGTGGCCTTAATAGTCAAGATGCTTTTCCTTTTGTGCCAATGCTTCCTTTTCTGTTCTAAGTTCATTTGTAATGGCAGTGGGGGGAGATTCTTAGAAAGAAATAATATCTGTCCATTATTCTTTTTACTTGAGAAGAACCTTTTAACCTATCCTCACCCAAATTTAGAGAGTATTTTAGCTCTTGAACATTCTCATTTTAAAGGTGAGGAAACTGAAGGCCAGAGTGGTTAAAGAGACTTGCTTAATCTCAGAGCTAGAACTGGGGAACTCAGATCTCCTAACTCCCCTTCTAGTGTTTATGCTGCACCACACTGCTACTGGGTTTTCTCCTTTTTTTTTTTAAATTAAGACAACTATCAAAATTGAATACTTTATATACCATTTTCTAGCCCTCGCATATTGGGTTTCTTTGTGCATACCCTATCATGTTTGCAGGTGTGTGTATGTGTGGGTGTGTGTGTGTGTCTGAGAGAGAAAGACAACACATTACTAGCCAAATTCAGTATATGACTTCCAGGAATTTTAGTTCTCTATATTTTTAAAATTTTTTATTTATTTAATTTTGTTTGTGTTGGGTCTTTGTTGCTGCATGCAGGCTTTTCTCTAGTTGCGGCGAGTGGGGGCTACTCTTTGTTGCGGTGCACGGGCTTCTCATTGCAGTGGCTTCTCTTGTTGCGGAGCACGGGCTCTAGGCACATGGGCTTCAGTAGTTGTGGCACGCGGGCTCAGTAGTTGTGGCTCATGGGCTCTAGAGCACAGGCTCAGTAGTTGTGGCGCATGGGCTTCGTTGCTCCACAGCATGTGGGATCTTCCTGGACCGGGGCTCAAACCTGTGTCCCCTGCATTGGCAGGTGGGTTCTTAACCACTGTGCCACCAGGGAAGTCCCTGGTTCCCTATTTTTACCTGATTAGTTCTCTTTGTTTTCCTACAAAGTTAAATTTGACCTAATAAAATTGGTCTTCTAAGTGGTTTCAAATTGGTTTTGACAAATTTCTAGGAATTCATATTTAACTGATTAGTGTTTATCGAGAACAATTCTATCTATCCCGTCTCCCCTTAAAACATGTGTAGAATGTACAGATGTTTTCTATTTTGGAATTTCTCTTTTTTTTTTTGATATCTCAGAAATTAACGTTTAGAAGGTTTTCGTGATGTTTGCCAGGTCTTATTGCAAATGCATGCATGTTTCAAAATGCATGCCTCAGACTTAGAAACTTGTATGTAACAATTTAAAAAATAATCTCTGGCTTTCTAGTCTAATTTCGTTTTTCTGTTGAGCTGGAATTTGGTGACATTATATGTAGCCTCATTAATTGCTTTTCTCCTTTTAGTTATTTCTGTGATATCCACCATCACTACCAGATCTTTATATGTAGCTCTTTTGCTAAGTTGAAATACATATTGAGGGGCAGGTGTGCTAGAAATGTCATAATTAGGTACAAAGGGACTTTGGACTCTTTAGTAATTGAAAAGTCACTGGGAAGTAAGAATAGAGTCTATATTGAATTCTCCCTTTGAATTTGGTACATGTGTAAAGTGTTAGCGGTCAGACTTGTAAACTTTACAAGGGTTGGGGGATGGGAGTAGGGGAGAAGAGAGGAGTAAAAACAAGATACCATGAGACTGGAAAGCAGAGATTTTTATTCTTGTGATTCATTACCTGCCATCACTGCTTCCTTTCTTCTCCACAGAATTATGGGGTAGGAATTGATGAGATATATTGTTGAAGTTATGTAGGATATATAAATCTAGAGATCTGATGTACAACGTGATGACTATAGTTAGTAATATTGTATAGAATACTGGAAATTTGCAAGAGAATAGATTTCATGTGCTCTTACCACACACAAAGAATGGTAACTATGTGAGGAGATAAAATGTTAATTAACTTGACTGTAGTAGTCATTTTATTATATATAGGTATATAGTATCTGCCAGGTGTTGGTTCCAGGAACCCCTGCGGATACCAAAATCCTAGGATGCTCAAATCCCTTGATAAAATGGCGTAATATTTGTGTATAACCTACACACATCCTCCTGTATACTTTAAGTCATCTCTAGATTACTTATAATACCTAATACAATGTAAACACTATGTAAATAGTTGTAAATACAATGTAAATGCCACGTAAATAGTTGTGTGGCTAATTCAAGTTTTGCTTTTTGGAACTTTCTGGAATTTTTTTTAAAACGAATATTTTCTGTCTGTGGTTGGTTGAATCCACAGGTGCAGGACCTATGGATATGGAGGGCTGATTATATCATATCATCATGTTGTGCATCTTAAATATATACAGTTTTTATTAAAAAAATAAGAGGTCTACACTAGTAGGAAAAGAAAAGATGTATAAGATGTTTCTGAGAATGCTACTTGCAGGCGAAGTTAAGAACAGTGTTATCTTGGTGAATGGATGTGATCACCATGTTATAATGCATGTAAGACAGCGTTTAAAGACCTGTATGTTTCTAAGAATACTACTTGTGGGAGAAATTGAGAACAGTGTTATACTGAATGGATGTGATTACCACACTATAATACCTGTAAAACAGTGGTTAAAGACACATGTATCCAAGGTATTGTTGAGGCTTCTACTTGCATGAGAAGTTGAGAACACTGTTTTTTCCAGTGAATGGTTGTGATCACCACTGTATAATGCAAATAAAACAATGTTTAAATACAAAAAGAAATTGATGATATACAGGTATATTTAATTATTGAAGCCTTAATAAGCAGAAGTTGACATAGGGTATACACAAAACTACTTGCAAACTCACTTCTATTAGCAGATGGGAGGATAGCATAGAAGCCAAGAGAGTATGATGGAAAGATTGGACCAATATAGAATGATATAACTACCAGCTAATAGTATAGTTGTTTCATTCTGCTATCCTTCCCACTTTTGCGGGGGGAATGGAGACTAGAAATATATCTATTTATTCTTAAATGTAGCAGCTCATGCAAGATATCTTAGAGTAGCTTTAAATAAATCAGAATCTATTATGCCATTTAAAAAAGTCCTTGAAATTTTTCTAGGAGTAAAAGACTTCTTTTGAGGTGTAATTCACGTACCATAAAATTCACCCTTTTGAAGCATACAATTCAGGGTTTTTTTTTTAGCATATTCATAGAGGTGTGCAACCATCACCACTATCTAATTTCCAGACATTTTCATCATGTCAAGAAGAAATCCTGTACTCATCCTCCCTTGTTAGATAAAAATATTAGAACCAAAGAATTTGCTTTATAGTTTATATTAAAAGTTAAAGGTACATTTTTGTTTCAGACTATGTTTTGTAATGATGATAAGAGATATTGAATATTATTTTATTGCCTTCAATGTGAAGTGAACTTCTTAGGACTAAGAGTTAATAATAGTAAGGAAACAGTCAAGATCCCAAAATGTAGTTTGATTCAGAGTTTGTCTGCTTTCCAGGGAGTGCTGTAAACACTCGGATATTCAAGTGTATGATTCCAGCAACTCTAATATCAGAAGATTCTGTGGTTACGGCGGTCTCTTGGCTTTGTGTTGGCAAGTGTTCTGGTAGCACCAAGGTAATCTTTTTAAACACTTTGATGTTAAGTCCTTCAGAACCACTTAAGGGCTGGCAAGGAAGAGCCACTTATGGAGTAATGGCAGTGGCCTTTTGTGCAAAGCCTGTAGTTTTGGAACAGTGTAGCTTGATGCAAAGAGTCTGTTCAAACAGAAATTTTTACTGAGAGATAAAATCTATTATCCTTCTTTGTGCTAGAGGCTTCTAAAACAGCCCTGAGGGGGGAATTAAGCTCTCTCCTCTGCAAGTTACATTTCTCTAAAGATAAGCATTTTGTCTCTCAATAGGTACTTTTTTATCGTTGGCTGGTTGCAATGTTTGACTTCATTGATCACAAGGAGCAAATTAACTTGCTCTATGGCTTCTTTTTTGCTTCATTGCAAGATGATGCACTGGTAAGTAAAAATTGGACAGCATCATGCATCAATCAAATGGTACGTGCTTGTATATCGATGCACCATATGTGCTTCAAAGTGCCACACAACTTTCCTTACTTATTTTAAAATATATGAAACGCATAGAAAAGTATAAAGAGTAACATAAAAAACATCTTTACACCTGTCTCTCAGATTAACAAATAAAATTTTTAATGCATTTGCTTTATATCTTTTTTAAGGAAATAATTGTAACAGATAGAATTGAGTTCACATTGGAGTCTCTTTGCTGATCTAGAGCAATGATTGCCATCTTTTCCCTTTTAAACCACTTCAACAGGGTCCTTTGGGTCACTTATTGTACAGTTTCTTTTTTCTTTTTTTTAACATCTTTATTGGAGTATAATTGCTTTACAGTGTGTGTTACTTTCTGCTTTATAACAAAGTGAATCAGTTATAAATATACATATGTTCCCATATCTCTTCCCTCTTGCGTCTCCCACCCTCCCTATCCCACTCCTCTAGGTGGTCACAAACCACCTAGCTGATCTCCCTGTGTTATGCGGCTGCTTCCCACTAGCTATCTGTTTTACATTTGGTAGTGTATATATGTCCATGCCACTCTCTCACTTTGTCACAGCTTACCCTTCCCCCTCCCCATATCCTCAAGTCAATTCTCTAGTAGGTCTGTGTCTTTGTTCCTGTCTTACCCCTAGGTTCTTCATGACATTTTTTTTCTTAGATTCCATATATATGTGTTAGCATACGGTATTTGTCTTTCTCTTCCTGATTTACTTCACTCTGTATGACAGACTCTAGGTCTATCCACCTCACTACAAATAACTCAATTTCGTTTCTTTTTATGGCTGAGTAATATTCCATTGTATATATGTGCCACATCTTTTTTTTTTAACATCTTTATTGGGGTATAATTGCTTTACAATGGTGTGTTAGTTTCTGCTTTATAACAAAGTGAATCAGTTATACATATACATATGTTCCCATATCTCTTCCCTCTTGCGTCTCCCTCCCTCCCACCCTCCCTATCCCACCCCTCTAGGTGGTCACAAAGCACCGAGCTGATCTCCCTGTGCTATGCGGCTGCTTCCCACTAGCTATCTATTTTACGTTTGGTAGTGTATATATGTCCATGCCACTCTCTCACTTTGTCACAGCTTACCCTTCCCCCTCCCCATATCCTCAAGTCCATTCTCTAGTAGGTCTGTGTCTTTATTCCTGTCTTACCCCTAGGTTCTTCATGACATTTTTTTTTTTAAATTCCATATATATGTGTTAGCATACGGTATTTGTCTTTCTCTTTCTGACTTACTTCACTCTGTATGACAGACTCTAGGTCTATCCACCTCATTACAAATAGCTCAATTTCGTTTCTTTTTATGGCTGAGTAATATTCCATTGTATATATGTGCCACATCTTCTTTATCCATTCATCCGACGACGGGCACTTAGGTTGTTTCCATCTCCGGGCTATTGTAAATAGAGCTGCAATGAACATTTTGGTACATGACTCTTTCTGAATTCTGGTTTCCTCAGGGTATATACCTAGTAGTGGGATTGCTGGGTCATATGGTAGTTCTATTTGTAGTTTTTTAAGGAACCTCCATACTGTTCTCCATAGTGGCTGAACCAATTCACATTCCCACCAGCAGTGCAAGAGTGTTCCCTTTTCTCCACACCCTCTCCAGCATTTATTGTTTCTAGATTTTTTGATGATGGCCATTCTGACTGGTGTGAGATGATATCTCATTGTAGTTTTGATTTGCATTTCTCTAATGATTAATGATGTTGAGCATTCTTTCATGTGTTTGTTGGCAGTCTGTATATCTTCTTTGGAGAAATGTCTATTTAGGTCTTCTGCCCATTTTTGGATTGGGTTGTTTATTTTTTTGTTATTGAGCTGCATGAGCTGCCTGTAAATTTTAGAGATTAATCCTTTGTCAGTTGATTCATTTGCAAATATTTTCTCCCATTCTGAGGGCTGTCTTTTGGTCTTGTTTATGGTTTCCTTTGCTGTGCAAAAGCTTTGAAGTTTCATTAGGTCCCATTTGTTTATTTTTGTTTTTATCTCCATTACTCTAGGAGATGGGTCAAGAAGGATCTTGCTGTGATTTATGTCATAGAGTGTTCTGCCTATGTTTTCCTCTAAGAGTTTGATAGTTTCTGGCCTTACATTTAGGTCTTTAATCCATTTTGAGCTTATTTTTGTGTATGGTGTTAGGGAGTGATCTAATCTCATACTTTTACATGTACCTATCCAATTTTCCCAGCACCACTTATTGAAGAGGCTGTCCTTTCTCCACTGTAAATTTTGATTTGCATTTCTCTAATGATTAATGATGTTGAGCATTCTTTCATGTGTTTGTTGGCAGTCTGTATATCTTCTTTGGAGAAATGTCTATTTAGGTCTTCTGCCCATTTTTGGATTGGGTTGTTTGTTTTTTTGTTATTGAGCTTCATGAGCTGCTTGTAAATTTTGGAGATTAATCCTTTGTCAGTTGCTTCATTTGTAAATATTTTCTCCCATTCTGAGGGTTGTCTTTTGGTCTTGTTTATGGTTTCCAGTTTCTTGATTAACACTGTGAAAACCTCATCAGAATTAATGAGGAAGGATTACTTTTCATGAGATGCCAGTGGGCTGATTTTGATTAAATAGCATAATTATTCCCATTGAAAACGTTAATAACTCTAAGAAATCAATCTACTGTCCACATGGAAGACTTTCAAGGACCATCAGTAGTTCACAGACCATGTGAACCATTCATCTAACTGAATTCCTCTTGCTTCTGGAAAGGGAATTCATTCATTGATTTCATTTTTAAAAAATTGACTGTGTTCATTGCATTGATCGAGGCAATGTAGAAGATTCAAAGTTTAGCAGAGAGTTTCCATATTCCAGGGGTTTATAATCCAGTTTGGGGACTAAGGAAAGCAGATAAAGTTAAATAATATATAAGTTAAATTATCAAAGACAGTATATGTTAACACGAGGATAATAATTGCTGTGATATTTCCAGGAAGGAAAGAACACTGTAAACCAGAGTGATTAGAAAAAGCATCATAAAGTATGTAGGCATTGAGCTAGGCCGTGAAGGTTGAGTAGGATTTGAGATTTGATGTTTGATATGACAGGAATATTTCAAGCAAAGTTGTGAACTGTGTAAATTGTATTTCAGGAGACCATAAATAGATCAGGTTGACTTAATTACAGTTGGTGTCAAGCAGTGGTGGGTGGTAAGGCTGAAGAAGTTGGGTGAGGAAAAATTGTAGAGGTCTTTAAATGTGATGGTAAGGAATTTGAACTTTATCCTATATCCAGTAGGGAAATCACTGAAAAACTTGGGGCAGAACATGTTGAAAGCAACACTGTAGGAAGTTGTATCTAGTAGTGCCAAACATTATGAATTATGATGGAGGCTAGAGTCAGGAAGACTAATTAGGAGACTAACATGATGATGACATCCTAAACTAGCAGTTCTCAGATATGCTCTGTGGACCCCTTGAGCCTCCCTGAGAACCTTTCAGGAGGTCTCAGTGGTTCAAGTTATCTTTATAGCAATATCAAGATGTTATTAGCAATTTTCACTGTGTTGACATTTGTACTGATGGTGGATAAAACTGCTGGCGCCTTAGCACAAATCAGGGCAGTGGGGCCAGACTGTACTAGTGGTCATTGTGTTCTTCACTGCAGTAAAAAACAAAAATGCTAGTTTCACTTAATACTGTCCCAAATGAAACAGTAAAAATTACTTCATTAATTATATTAAACTTCAGCCTGTGAGACACATCTTTAGTATTATGTTTGATGAAATGGGAAGTACAAATAAATCCCTTCTGCATACCAAAGTACAACAGTTGTCCTGAGGAAAAGCACTTGTGTGATTGAGTTGTGAGCTAAACCAGCTGCTTTTTTCACAGAATACCATTTTTACTTCAAAGAGTGACTGACATATAAACTGGTTATTCAGACTTGGGTATTTGGCAGATGTTTTCTTGAAAATGAACAAAGTGAGCTGGTCATTTCAAAGAAAACAACTGGCACTATTTTTTGCCAGTGATAAAATTTGAGCTTTTAAGCGAAAATTACAAGTTTGGAAAATTTGTAACTGCCACTGTGAACTTGACAGCTTCCCAATACTTAAAGACTTTCCTGATGAGGATGGTAGCAATATTAATGAATGTGATTTTTAGATATTATATAATAAAATATGTTAATTTTTGGAAGCTTGGTATAACTAATTTCCAAATTATCAAGTATGAAATTATGCATGGGTAAAAGAGCCATCCAAAGTGCAAGATATATCAATGAATTTTATTTTTTTTTTTTAATTTTTTTTTTGCGGTAGGCGGGCCTCTCACTGCTGTGGCCTCTCCCGTTGCGGAGCACAGGCTCCAGACGCGCAGGCTCAGCAGCCATGGCTCACGGGCCCAGCCTCTCCGGGGCATGTGGGATCTTCCCGGACCGGGGCACGAACCCGTGTCCCCTGCATCAGCAGGCGGACTCCCAACCACTGCGCCACCAGGGAAGCCCTATATCAATGAATTTTAATGGAACAGAGTACAAAGAGGGTTCATTGATAAGATTTCAGATTCCACATTGCAGCTGTTCCCTAAGAGGCTATCACTCACCAAGTTTTAGTGAAGTATCAAAGACTAATATCCACGATTTTCTGAAAAGGCTATTAAAATATTACTTTCTTCTCCAACTACATACCTGTGTGAGGCTGGCTTTTCTTCATGTACTTCAATCAGAACAACATATTGTAACAGATTTAATGCAGAAGCAGAGAATCCAGCTGTATTCTATTAAGTCAGAAACATTAAAGAAATTTGTAGAAATGTAAAACTGTGTCACTCTAAGTCATTTTTGGGGAAAATATAGTTATTTTTCATAAAATATTTCATTTATTGTTAGCATGTGATGGGCTTATTTTTATTTTTTGCGGTACGCGGGCCTCTCACTGCTGTGGCCTCTCCCGCTGCGGAGCACAGCCTCCGGAAGC